AAAAACCTCAGTAAGTTTTGAAAAATAAAGGAGAGATATATTATAAGAAAAATTCCCAAAATGTCTATGCATTTTTATTCTTTTAGATTAAGTATTTTAGTTTTAATTTTTTATTATAAAAATTACATATTTTTGTGGGTTATAAATATAAATTATAATATTATAGTTCATAGCCATAAAGATAGCGTGATTAAAGAATGAGGTAATGAGGAGTGGGTCACTGGTTAGCCAAGGGTTGACCCTCCAAAACCCTACTAGAAAATTTGTATAATTAATTAGCCACTCCATTTATCAGTTAATATAGACTGAATAAGATTGAGTCATAAAAATGTTGGGTTAGGCTGGTCCTATTGTCATGGATGATAATTGCCGCCACTAAACATAACTTATTATTCTAATCAGAAATGAACACACCTCACCAGCTCCTGTTGCTCCCAATCTTTGGACCGGATTTTCTGCGAGTAATCTGAAAAACACACTTGTGGTCATACTCAATATTACAAGACAAGTCATAGTGTTTAAGTCTTCACCAGCAGACACAATGACCCTTACTGTTGGCTGTCACAGTACAACAAATTTGAAAGCAACACATGGGGGAGAGGGGTAATCCACTATGAAGGTGAATGGCTTTACTACAAAGCAACTAGACACAGATTACAGTAAACATGAAGCAAGTTCAATGAGGATGCAACAAGAAGATGCCTTATCCAAATAAGTTGGGTTAGCTACATGGATCATACATCGTTGCTCTATCAACAATTAACTATTCAGAGATATTATTAACTAAAAGATCCTATTAGATAAATTTCTTATATATGCTTCTTGGTCTCCCTCTACCTATCTTCAAAGGGCTAAAAAAACCATCTGCCTCAACTTTCCTCACTAGTGCCTGCATTGGCCTTCTTTGTACATGCCCAAACCACCTCAAATGATTTTCTACTATTTTTTTCAATGGGGAGAATATGATCTGGTTTAGGCATTTAATGGCTTGCTACATCGAGAAGATTCATGATTGATTTGCATAAGGTAATGAGTTTTAAATTGAATGGAAGGCAATATGAGGTGCACGACTGGAGACACTACACAGATCAGGCAGTTGTACTCTACATACTGCAAGTCTTTGAATCACTGATCGTGTTGGATAAGAAGAAAGTAGAAACTTGGAGGTTTTGTGTAAATTACAGGAAGCTAATCATCAAATCATCAAGTATTAAGTTCCCATTTCCAGTCCTAGATTACTTGATAGATAAATTACATGGTACTTGCTTTTTCTCTAAACTAGACATCATAGGAAGGTATCATCAGGTCTCAAGGAAACCAAATGAGTCCATAAGATGGATTTTTACACACATGAAGGCCTGTACGGGTTTCTAGTGATGTGGTCTGGCCAAGATTAGATTTGGAGGGCTCAAATATCAACTTAAGGAAGAGCATGATGAGCACCAAATCCAAGTCCGTACCAAAATCCATTAAATCATCAAAAGGTTTTTTGGGTTTAAAAGGCTACTATAGAAGATTCCTAATACACTATAGAAGCTTGAGCAAACCACTTAAAAGTGTTATGAAGGAAATATTAGAAGATTGAATGGAGTAAGGAAGCTGTTGTTTCCTTCGAAAAGTTGAGACAAGGCATGGTTTCTACACCAGTTAGCTCTGCCCGATTTTTCTATTCCATTCACTATTGGGATAGATGCTTGTAATGAGGCAACAGGGGCTGTTCTTTCTTGAAGAGGACATCCTATTGCTTATGCAGGTAAACCTAGGAATGCTGCTACTCCAGGTCAATTACAGCCATCGTATACCAGAAAATACATGGACTGGTTTCAAAGGGGATTTTATCGGGATTTTCTTAGTCCATATGGTAAGTATTTTAGTGGTGATATATTTGTTGAGCAAGGCAATCCATTTTATGCCAATAAGAAATGAATTTTCAAGATGAAAAAGTGATTCGCACTTAGTGTTGGGAACAGAAACATAATCGAAGGAAATAGAGCAGCATAATAGGGTTATAACTTACAAGTTAAGCAAATACCTTGATAGATGGCAATGAGAGAACTATTAGGTAAAGGCAGGGGATGTTCTTGGAATAGGTGGTGAGTCAACATGTACATCAGCAGAGTTTGCAGGAGGATCAGAGCGTGTTCAATGGTGATAAGTCTGAAAGGAATGGAGACGAGTGACTTTAGGAGAGGCAATGTAGGGAATTGGGAGAACTTCGGACATATATATGATTAGCATTGCCAGAAGCAAAGCGAAAAGAAGTCTCAAAGAATGAAATATTCGCAGAGGTAAGGTAGAATAGTGTCTAAAGAGATGCAACGATAAATTTTTGAAGGTAAGAATACTCAAGGATGATACATTAGGTGGACTTGGCACCGAGTTTATTGTCACCAACGGTTAGATTATGAGGAAAACAGATCGAATCAAAAATACAAGGAAGAAGATGATGAAGAGGCTTATTTGGAAACAGAAGGGGACAAGAAATTTGATTATGCAGTACAGATGAGGCACATGATTAATTAAAACATATGTACAGCATCAGTTTAAAGAAATGGAGGGCTACGTTATGACAAAGTACTAGTAAAAATAAGAAGAAAACTCTTATGCTCAGCAACTTCATCTTGTTGTGATTACATGAAGAATCTTCAGTGAAAACGAATTTTTTCGAAAGGAGTAAAATTGTTCCTTAAAATTGTGAATACATAAGAAAGATATAAAGATGCAAAATTGTTTTTGGCTTTAAGCAGAAAAGGATTGAAATAAGATAAAACCCCAGAAGAGTTTTCATCAAATGGCCAAATGCAATGAGAATAGCCATCAATAGAAGTCATAGTGAAGGCCAGAAACCAGAAAACCAAATTTTGTCAACTTCCAATGTGATTCCAAATTCTAAAATATGATGAAACTATGCGTGTGTGTGTGTGTGTGTGTACGAGGACCCCAGAAGAACCAAAGTTAGTTGATCTGATGCATGTCCCTTTTATTCATGTAGTAGGAACTAAGGTTCTTCTCCTCTATTCATCGAGCATTTTCTTAGATCATAAGATCCCATTAAATAGCTTAGTTAGCCATGAAACTCTCCCTTCACCAAAACATTTCCACACTTCAATATGGATATTATTAGATCCAGTGGCTATACCATTATCCATGTTCTTAAGAGCTTCCTTAACCTTGTTATCGCAAATCCTTTGATAAAATGTCAAATTCCATTTTTCTTCTTGAGTTACTAAATCCTTCTAATCACTAGACGAGCCCCCTTCATTATTGAAAAGCTTGTTAAAGTAGACCTCCCATCCATTTTTAATATTACCATATGTAACTAAAACTTTTTCTCCTTCATCCTTTATGCACCTTACTTATTCCAAATCTCTTGATTTTCTTTCCTTACTTTTTGCACTCTTATAAATTTTTGTTTTCCATTTTTTGTTTCTAGACCTTCGTAAAACTCTTCAAATGCTTTAGAACATACTTCACTCACTGCTTTGCTAGGTCTTATTACAATAAGAACAAAAAATAATAAGGCATGATAAAAGAGATACTTAAGGTCTGATTACAATAACATAATAGGAAATAAACCATTGACTTAAAGGGATGAAATGACCAGGCAAAAGACACGGGATTTAGAAGGGACAGCATGTCAAATACAAGGGATCCCAACACTTGATTAACAAACAATAATAGTAATACAACAATCAAGGGCATAAGTTGTTGACAGAAATGGGGTGTGGAGCATTCACAATTCAGTTACATAAAGAACATATCAAAAGTTATACAGGGAAAAAGTTTGGATTGAGCAAATCCTCTACTAACAGTTTCAGAACCATCGACTAAAGTCCCACAAGGGGAGCATAGGTGAAATATGAGAGACAAAGTGATTGTTACCAAAAATGTGATCAAAGGAACTTGAATCAAGAACCCATGGCTCAAGGAAAGAATAGGTGAGGCAAGTAGTAGGTTTGCTGGTATGAGCAACAATGTAGCAACTAGTGTCTCCTTTGTTAGCTGGTACTGAATATACTCATTTAAGTCATCTCCAGTCAGTGCAATGGATGTAGAAAACCACTCCTCACGCAAAACCATTGCTTCAGAGCTTTCCATCACTGCATGGATGGAGGCAGCTCTAAATGACATATAGTAATGAAGAATAAAGGCGCATGAACTGCAAAAATAGGACATATGATTGCAAAGGATGACAATTCTAGAAGCTCTGAGAAACGGGCCATATAGAAATTTGCATGTGGAATGGCAGGAAGACTGTAGCAATGGCGTGGCAAAAAGCTTGCACTTCAGAGTTCTGCTGATCTGATCACTCTAATCTCGTTGATGTGGCCATCTCAAGATCTAGATGGAACTTAGGTAACCTAGTTTGAACAGCCATGAGATCCAGAGAAAAGGCACTACTAGAAGGAGATACAGTAAAACCAGCTATCTATAACTCAACATTTAGATAGTAGACTAATTTGTTCTCCCCATGCCCTCACCAAAGACCAGCTAGCTGATGTTCTTCCTAAAGGTTCAGCAATACAATATTTAAAGCAATTACTTCCAAACTGGGAATGGATAACATATTTTGTCCAGTTGCCATCACAATTACCATTAAATAGCATACCCTTTTTGGTAATATAGCATATGCATTTATCCAATAAAAAAAACGTGCCTCTCTAATTCTCAAATACTTACTTGTCAATCAAATCACATGCTTCATAGCTCATCTCCTCAGGTACATTTGGCCACTGTATGTCTCTGTTAATTATTTTGTCAAAAATTTGCTGCAGTACAGAATCCATGAGAATTAGTTTTAAGCTATCCATGTATTCAAATAATAGAACTAGAAAAATTTTAAAATCACTTTAAGATCCAACGATTTCAAACAGAAAAAATCATGAAAAAAAAAACATCAAAGGATAATCATCATTACTCTGATTAAACGGCAATAAAAAGACGAGTGACATTAGGTGGGGGGAAGAAGACCTTAGCACAACTACATGCAGAAGCCTATTAAATGGTTGAATTTATTTATTTTTTTTTTTTTTGGCAATCCAATCGTTGACATTATGACCTGGCTTTACTGTTCTCTTTAGTATATCTGACCAGAAAAATAAGCTGTCCCTATTTCTATATGGTTGTCATTTGAGTGATGCTTCAATGTTCGTTATCCACAAGAGTAACACACAAAATAAAATATTTACTTAAAAAAAAAAAGAGTAAATAAAACGTTTCACCTTTGAAAGATTACAATATTATCATCTTGGTTGTTCAAAGTGTTAAGTGTAAGCCTCTCAATTTCTTCCCCAATAAAATTTTCCACCAATCTAGTTCCTTTATGTCCTAAAATGAGATCAATTGAATTGAATTATATTGAATTTTGATCTTGCACAATAAAACGTTCATGTAATCATTATGGTGATGAAATGGCAATTCATGGTCCAGAAAAAGCTGCAGATAATTCATGAATTTGGCGATTTTGCTCCATTATAGCTTTCCTAGATGTTAAACACGGTTCCTTCACCAGTTTGATAGCCACATAAGCATTATACTAGACCAGGTTAGCTTAGGGATCTTAACCAGGTAAACCCATGTTCATGAATAGTCTTCAAGAATTTTCCCTTTCAGTTTTTAATTTTCCTTTATTAGAAAGTTTTCAACTGGTTGGTTGCCCAAGTTTTTTTTACTATTCCTTCAAAGTGGTGTATCTAGTTATCAAAGGGGAAATGATACTTAAGGATCCATAACTTATAATATTGACAGATACTAACCTAAAAAATTAAAATCCCTCCCAATGATTATAAAAGTAAGTTATCATCCGTGCTTCATAAAGTTATTATTCATGCCTGATAAAGTGACAACTCAATTTTCTCGATTTACAAGGATGTTTTTGGATTGGTTGATATTTTAAGATGAAAAGACTCTTTTGACATGGGGAAGATGAGACTGTAACTTTAGGAAGCAGGAGTTTCAACTATTAAAAGCACCAATAGTAACTTATTGTTTTGGTCCTTGGGAAAATCATAGGATAACAAATAAAAATAAACTTTTATTTTTATTAGGGCAAAATGGAAAATCGTAGGCAATTAACGATAAAAAGTTAAGGTTAGGCAAAGAAGTATTTAAATGCCATTGAATAAAAAATAAAATAAAAAGAAGACTGAATATAACATAAAATAAAAAGAATGCTATCATCTCCCATATTTTTCCTGAAACTTGTAATAATATGACAGGCTTTTATATCAGAAACACCTACGTGCGGATGTTCTGCATTAAATGGTGGAATACCCACAAGGAGCTCATAAAGGATGATACCCACAGACCACCAATCTGCAGTTGCACCTGCAAGAATACCATAAATAAGAATGTAAATCAAATAAAATTAAATTCAAAAGAAGCAAAAATTTGAAATGACTAATTTAAAACATGTTTATTTAAAATAGATGAACTACTTAATCAGAAGATAAAGCAAACCATGTCCCATGCCGAGAAGTATTTCAGGTGCCAAATAATCTGGGGTGCCAACAACTGACTGCTTTTGACGTTGTTCGACTTTTGAAGAACGATCTTTTTTTGGTTCATCATTTCCTACAAGATCATCAGTAGAAAATGATGAAGTTGATAAGTCATCCGTGCTGTGAATAAGACCAACCTTGGAGAGCCCAAAATCTGTCAACTGTCATGAAAGGGATTAGAATTTATAAGAAGCAGCAGCTTTTACTTACATTGGTGCGCTGAATTAAGATATATGATAATTAGTAGAAGTGAGAACAGATAATTTAAAAGAAACAATGGTAAAAGAAAGAGCAATTAAAAATTGGGTGGAAAATCTGTAATTTAATTCCGCACACTCAGCATATTATTCTTGAAGTTTCACACGTGAAACCAGCGCTCACAGTCAATAAGTTCAACCAAAATACAAAGCACCCTCATGATAGTAGGAAATGAACTATAAGATAGAATTTTAGAAGAGATCAAACCATAGAACATACAAGAGCCCTAAGAAGAGGATGCCAACTTCCAGAAGTGTGCCAGGGACGAGTATGTTATTGGAAATCAGATGGTTCCTGTTATGTTGTTTTATGCAAAATAACATGAGAGTAACTTTTCCTCGAAAGTTACAAAATCACTTCTTCAGTCAGTTAACAAACAACCGCTGAGGAAGCTTCACTAAACGCAATTATTTGGAAAGAAGGCTAATGAACAATGAAAGCGAAGGGTTCATTAAGAGACAGTCTGTGGGCTGTACTGTTACTTGATAGAGTCTAGGTGGCATACGAGATGGTAGCAAAATCCTAAATGACATTCAAGGTCGTCATCAAAGTGACAGCTAAGTCATCTAAAATTCCAAACATTCCTGGGATTATTTACAAGACATTGGAGGCCCAATGATCATAGTAATATCCAAAAGAATGAAATTTGCAAAAATTAATTTGGAAATCCAAGAAAACGAGGCTATCCAAGAAGCATCATCAAGGCCTCTTATTTTCAAACAGTTCTACAGAAACATAGCCGCAAAAAGAAAAAAAGATATGTTTCTTCCAAGTGCATTTAAATTGTATAATGCTGACCTTGATGTGACCATCTTGGCCAATCAACAAGTTATCAGGCTTCAAGTCTCTATGAATTACATGTAAGGAATGTAAATACTCCAATGCAAGCACCTGTTAGAAAATCAAAGAGAAACGGAAGAATGAAAGATAGAAAGAAAAATAAGTCATTGTGAGAACTGAACTGAAATACAGATAAATAAATGCAAGATTAACAAAATACAAAGATTAGGACGCTTACAACTTCGGCAATATATACACGTGCCATATCTTCATCTAAACAACCTAGATTTCTCAATAGAGAGTAAAGGTCTCCACCATTTAAAAATTCCATAACCAAATAAAGATTTTCCCTACAAGTGAAAGAGTAGAAAAATCGAACCTGTTCATCATTGAATTACATATATTAGATAAGTATATCCATATGTAAAACGTCATCATATGATAAGAAATTGTAGGACCTACTCATTGCTCACCACAAAGGGATTTCGAACTGATATAAGGATGTCTCGCTCAGCCAAAATACTTTCAACTGCATTTTTGCGGATCATATCAGCCTTTTTCAGAACCTACAAAATATTGAAAATATTAACTATTTTCTAATTACCTTGTTAATTACTTTGGAAACAAGACTTACAATAGGAAACAATAATCAACAAACAATTCTGGATGAAAAAGGGCTTCAATCGGACATCATTATCATATATATTTTAATCAAAATAAACAATGTTGTGTTCTCGAAGGATTAGATAGATAAGTACTCCAATAAGTGGAGTGTGATGACAAATACAATAACACATGCCTGTGTTTAATCAAAATCATAAGATGGTTCAGAAGGCAGAGTAATCAAGTCAAACCCTCAAACTTCTCTTTTTCCATCTCCACATACATATGTTACACGGTGAACATGTGGCCCTACTTATAAATGCAGGCGTGTTTATTGTCTTTCCTTCTTCAGATTTATTTAATTTATTGTATATTTCCTTTTTTTTATTCTCTTGCATTTCATGATATTTATCAATATTCAAATTGTTTTGATTTGTTGATTGAATGATATTTATGGCTGACTTGTTAAACTATGGTCCTATGTATGAATTTCAAAACTTACGGAACAATGCCATGAATGAGAAAGAAACCCCAATCTGATCTTTTCTACATGGTGTCAAAGCTGGAATATGCTTTTACCATCCCTCACTCAGATTTGGCCATCTCTCTACCACGAAAGTAGACAAACAGGGTATGCAAAACACGTCATTTGACATGGCTACTGCAATACCTCTTGTCCAAGGGACCCTCAAGGCTTCTCCTTCTCTCAATACTAGGCAAAGTGACCATCCAGTATTCTGATGTACATGAAGGGAAAAGGTAAGGGGGTACTCCTCATCATATTCTGTGTAGAAATACAAGGTTCGGGATGCTGAAAACAAGATATTCATATCTTGGTTGGTCAATTTAATGACAAACAATATTTGAGAAAATTTTCTTCTTTGTTTGACTGCCCAAGAATATTTGGGAGATAATATTGGGAGATCAAATTATACCTCAAGTGGAAAAGTTTAGATATTTGGGAGCCATTATCCAAAATGATGGCGAAATCAGTGGAGATATTTCACATAGAATTCAAGCTGGGTGGTTTAATTGGAGAAAAGCTAAAGGAGTTATTTGTGACCGTAAGGTGCCTAATAAACTTAAAGGAAAGTTTTATCGTACTGCTATCAGACCGGCAATGTTATATAGTAGTGAATGCTGGGCTCTAACGGGACAGCAAGAGCATAAAGTTGGAGTAGCAGAGATGAGAATGTTACGATGGATGTGCGGACATACACGTAAAGATAAAATTCGAAATGAGCACATACGTGAAAAAGTGAGGGTGGCAGCTATTGAGGAAAAAATGGTAGAAAATCGGTTGAGATGGTTTGGGCATGTACAAAGAAGACCAAGGGAGGCACCAGTGAGAAGAGTGGAACATATAACTTTGAGTCCGATTAAGAGAGGTAGAGGAAGGCCTAAGAGAACACTCTTGGAAGTTGTTGAACGTGATCTCTTAATTAATAATATTTCTAAAAGCTTAATAAATGATAGAGCACAATGGCGTCTTGCAATCCATGTAGCCGACCCCACCTAGTGGGATAAAGGCTTGTTGTTGTTGTTGTTGTTGTTGTTTGACTGCCCAAGAAATATGGAAGGTAGCTAGAGAAACATATTCTTAAATAGAGAATTCAGCCTTCTTGTTTGAAGTGAAGGACTTGTGCATGATTTGAGACAATGAGAGATGGACGTCATTCAGTGCTATAACATGCTCACACAAAACATTGGCCACAAGTTGATCTTTATAAGTGGTCATGTATGTCAGAGGCTGCCTACTACAAGCAAAACACGAACAGAAGAGAATATATAAATTCTCCTTGAACTCAACTTGACTGTGAGGAGATTAGGGGGAGGAATGCAGGATAACACCCACTTCCAACAATTTGAGAAGTGTTTCCAGCAATTATGAGGGAGTAGTGCAAGAAAAAATTGATTTTAGAACCTCAACTGTTCTTAATGACTGTCTTGAGGGCAAAAGGACACAGACCACTGATCACAAACTGAAGAAGGGAGGAAATCTCTGGTTGTGACCATTGTCACAGGACTAGTTACGCTAGTTAGCTAGAAGTTGTATAGAAGACCATCCAATTTTCAAGGTGAAAGAAAGTAATATACACATGGATATATGTTCAGTAAGGAGCAGTTGGCACTTCTACAGAAGTTATTTGTAAACCAGAATCAGCCTGAAAATGTTGAAGTTGATACCACAGTTCAGTCAGATAATACTCCATTACATTAAGTTCTCAGGCTCCAGGGAGTGAAACTTGAGCAGTTGACTCTATCTAGAGTTAATGACCATATGACAAGTTCGTCTCTACCCTTGATCACTTTATTCCGTATTATAAAGGTTTAGAATTGACAAGTCCTTAGAACTCAACTCACCTTACCTTCTTTTTTAATTACAAATAAAATAGCAGTAAAACTTGCTAATGGTTCCAATTAACCGCTTCTGGGTTTGGGACAGTAAAGTTGTAAGATACTTTAATCCTTAAAATGTCCAATTGGTTCCTAATTGGCTTGTAATTTACAGTCAAGAAGACTGCCAAGTATCTTGATTGTATCACTGACTTCTTCGTTGGCTGTCAATTTTAGGTGTTTGAACCAACGCAGACAATTGGCAGCTGTATAGAATGGAATGTGCGGGACCTCATAGATGGAGTTATATGCAAGAAAAAGACCAGTTCAAATCAACATCTCAAACAATTAAATGAAAGAAGACGAATAGTTTTAGTATAATACCTAACATGCCCCTCCCATAAAAGAAGAAATTAATCTTATATAAAAAAAATATGAAAGCACTTTTCCAACATCAACGGCATTTTACAAAGAACAAACAAACAAATAAAAACTAAATATTTCAAGATTTAAAATTTATAGTGTTTCAAAAGAACCCCCTTTCTAGTCCGCCCGCCCCCCCCCCGGGGGGGGGGGGGGGAAACCCTTTTGGACAATCAAACAAAATATTCAATTTCACAGAAAGCAAATGACACTTGCTGCAGTGCTCTATACGAAAACGGACGTGACATATCTACCCACCGAATGAAGAAATACACATACGGACAAAGAAATAAACCTTCAGAGCAATTTTTGTTTAGTAAGAAACCATTTCCATTTGATCGAAAAAAAAAAAAAGAAAGAAACCATTTCCAACCTTTATGGCAAACAAATCTCCGGTTGCTCTTTTCCTGGCTAGGAAAACTCGTCCGAATGCACCTCGGCTTATTGGTTTTATTATTTCGAAGTCTTCGATGGAGGTTCGATCCCTAGAACAATGGTGAATTGGGCTAGCACGAAGGCTTCGAATAGTATCATCTTCCACTGAACTCTCTTCTTCAACCAAGCCATTCGATGAGTCTACCTTTTCGTTGTCTAGTTGATCGCAAAGAGATAAATATTTTTCCCTGTAAAGGGAGTTGCATATTAACAGATTATAGATAGCATATGTACAAGGTTTTTCCCCTTTGATAACCACAAATGTAAGTTTTCTTGCAGTAATTTTTTTTTACTTTTTGGCCAACTACTTCTAGGTATTTTGGAAGCCACATTCACACTCTCCCATCTTGTCATAAGGTGGTAGAGATGATGATACGATGGGCGTTGGCATGCCCGGGTTGAAGCAAATATTGACCACCACCACCAACAACAGGAAGTTTGAAGACTTGATCATCGGATACCCAAAAAATTGGTGTGGAAAGACACTTGTTCGAAATTAAAAATGAGCATGTGACAGAGAAAAAGATACGAACAGAGAAGAGCACACTAAAATATACTCACGACAAGAGAGTCTCTATGCGTCGCCCAAAAGTTTCAACAATGAGAGCATCGACCTTTCTGTCCTGAATGGTGAGATTAAGTTCTTCTACGCGACGACTTACATAGTTCAAAGATCTGTAGTCATTCACATTTGCAACAGAACGAGCAATTTCCACTAGTTTGTTAATCTGTCATGACAGTATATTTATCAATGTGATAGTAATAACTAAGAAAAATTACAAAAAATAAAAATAATAAGACATTATAAAGGAAATTATTAACCAAATGTTTGAGATGTTGGGAGAATTACACGAAATCTCATGTAAAAAAATTAATTACTATAAAATTTATTGATAAATTAAATTAAATTGTATTAACAATATAATTAATTGTTAATATAGTTTAATTTAATTATTAATAAATATTATTGTTATTAATTTTATTATATGGGATGTGATTGTAATTCTCTCAATCTTTTATTCTCCTGAGAAAGGAAGACCTATCCTCCCTTATTTACCAATTCTATACAGGTCTTTCTTCTATTTTAATCGAGGAGAGGGGGAAAAGAAATATATTCTCCTGTCCTTTAGATTTGAAATAACTATACATACGCTATTAAAAAAAATGAAATGTACAAAAGAAATATATTCTCCTGTTCTTTAGATTTGGATCATTTTTTATTTTTATTTTATTTTGTTGAAGTGTTTTAATGTAAAATAAAACCTATTTTTACTTGCATCATTCATCATTTTTCTTTTAAAATAAAATATATTAATATTTAAAAAAAATGAACAATGTTATTTAGAACTAATAATTGCAGTTCCAGCTTTACTTTAATTATATATATATATATATATATTAATCTTATAAATAACAATCACTCTCAGTGTCATCTTTGTGTAACTCTTAATTTATTATATATAAAAGCCAGCATTAACATTAAGAAATGCGATAAAGATCACAAACAAAGACATGAGTGATTGTTGATCCAAGTACATTTTTTGACGCAGAATATTTGATTTTATGTCATCTAATTTTTTGGGTATATTCTGTTTCCATTTTCCGAAGGCTGACAAGCACGCAATCAAGGAATCCAAGCATTAAACTTAGTGCTTACCTGGAAATAACTCTCTAGTTCCAATATTGTTCTTCGCCCACTTAATAACATTTCTATCTGACTTGTTCGTGGGGTTAATAATGGTGATCTGGGTGTCAAGCTTCCGACTGAAGACATCTTTGAGCATTGATCGTGTTTGAAATATTTTTCACATGACACTTTTGGCAAAAGGTTCAGATCATCCTTAATAAAAGTATTGTCAGCTTCGGGAACAGAATCAAGCATGTCTTCTGAGCCTCGACGAGATAAGCTGTTTCTCACGAGAGATAAATCATTGAACTCATCATGCAAACTTGAAGTAGATACTCTCGCATTCTCAAAGCTTTCTCCAGGACCGTCGGTACTTTTTGGGGTACTTTTTGGGGTGCTTTTAGGTGTGCTTCTTGGTGTCCATGATTCGATTATCTTTTCAATAGTTTCGGCAAATCTTTCAAGCCGTTCATTCACGTTAAGACCTTTTAAATCACATCTATCGGCAATAGTGCATATTTGAGAGTGCTCCTCCACATACACAATTGGTATTTCAACCTCACATATTCTGCAGATCATTGAGTTCTCATATGTTAGATTGTGGGGATCTCCCCAGAATCCCCAGTGTACCTTTTGAGCTCTGGAGGATAGTTCTGACTGTTCAGGATTGGATGAATCAGTATCCACGTTTTCGACATTTTCTTCTTTGACATGAACCTGATCCTGTTCTTCCTTCGACGGCAAATCTTCGGCATCCTGACCTTTATATTCACTCTTTTTCTCAATATGACTAGGAAACTTTTTCCAGGATGAAATCTTATAGCCGCTTCCAGTTGAATCACCACTTCTGGAAGTGTCAGTTGCAGTATTCACATTCCGATCAGTTTGAATTTGAGTTATCTGACTGTCTGGTTCTTTAACTGCAGACTTGGTTCGCTGTTCCTCAGCCATCTCGTTTCCACCAATGGATTTATGTTCTACAGCATGCAAAATTTGCTCTCTATAAATGCCAAGATCACTGAGTTGGTGAAGACCCAGAATGTGATCTTGTTCATAGCCATTCTCTTTGTTGAACTGCACGAGACGTGTGCATCGAGTGAGGATAAACAGTAGGCGTGTATGAGCTTGCTTGAGAATCCCCATCGGTAACTCTTGACGCCTGTCATCTAAATTCTGAACAATGGCTTCGCAGTTCATCCAAAACTCGCTGGGCGACATCATTGCACATTGTTGGGCAACAATTAACAGATCCTCCAAGCTCTCTCTACATTCAGGATGAGACCCCAAAGTTTTTTCCAGTAGTCCCACCAAATCTCCGGCAAAAGCACTTAGGTCAGAATCTACTTCTTCCTTCAGCTTTCCAAACTTAGTTCTGATTGCAACCTCAACCTCCTGAAATGTTCATGTTAAACAAAGTGATTATGTATAGTATATGCGAAAAATAGAAATAAAAAAAAATATAAGTCTTGTACAAATTCATGCAATAACACTCTCAATATATCATTTTACCAGAGTAGAACATGTCAATGAATAAATAACTGAAACAAAAACTCCTCATACAGGAATCAAAAGTACCTCGATATGCCCGAATACACGATGTTTCCAAACTGGGAAAGCTTTGACTCCTCTTGAGTTGAGCTCATGAGAGTAGCTTTTGAAATCGATAGGTTTCTTCTTGCGTCCACTTGTGACGCGCAGTATTGCTTGAACGCGCGGGGACTGCAATTCTTTGGCAAATATGTCATCGTTACCCTATTTGAAATGCAACGTGAGAAACCTGATAGCTACCTACACATCTCTAACTCGCTAGAAAATAATTGAGTTGAAACAACTTTGTTGAATAATAATTCCGAATTGATAAAGACAGTATTATCACCTGCGTGAGAGGAACAGCATGGGAAGGAGCTCTCGATAATTTACTTTGAGTTCCATATATTCTCTTTCCTAAGAGGAGAAAAATCACCACACAAGTAGTAATATGCAGTTATCAGTAATCGTTTCATCGGTGAGGTTGAAAAGCAAAGATATGCCAAATATATAACGACTAATACTATTTTTGTTTATAATAATCTTGTACCCAAATCCGTTGAAACTACAATTCGATCCTCAGTTCCGATGCAATCCTTGCTCGAACTGGGAGACGCGCCAGCCAAGGACGGAAACCGAAGAGGCGAAGAAGCCGAGCGAGTCCGAATGTGATTGAGCCCTAAAGAGGATGCAAGCAAAATCGTAGGATTAGCTTCTTCGGTTCGCTCCTGTTCTAGTTTACGTACCGCCTCCTCGTTCCTTTGCTCGCCTTCATCCTCTATCGCAGTCCACCGATTCGGAATCGGAGGACTTTTCTGGAGCTTGGCTCTGGAGGATGCCGGCGATGATATCTTCGAAGTGGAATCATAGCCGGTAGGGTTCGTCGGCGATGTATTAGAGAGATGCGATGGCGGCAGCGAATTGCTCGACATCGATCATCAGTTTGGAGGTTCTTCATGGCATTGTGATCACTATGAGAGAGGGGGGGGGGAGGGGGAGAGAAGAGAGAGAAAGAGATGAGGCTTTCGCGGGAAGGAGAGCGAGTCTAGATCTTAATGGTGGAAGGGTTCGTTTTTAAAATCAAACAAAATAAATAAATAAATTTTGATAGACTTGATTCGAAGGAGAAATCTTCATGTTATTAGTTGCATGAAGGGGGAAAAAGAGGGTTAGTTATATTGCAAGATTTTGAGCGATCACGGCAAACACGTTTTCGTTCTTTTTGTTCTTTTTGTTTTTGTTTTTCTTTGGTACTTTTTTGCTCCTTAATTATTCTTCAAAGGGTATACAGTGTCTTAAAATATTTATTGTAACAATTTCACTCTTAAATAATTAAAATGTAACATATTTGCTTCTAACATTAAATATCCCAATATTAATCATTAAAAATACTAAGTGTGACTTAAATTTGAATGAAAATGGCACCTATCATGTGAAATGGATTTAAATTAAGGTGCATTTTTGCTTCTGAGTTATTTTTTGAAGAGCACATGATGTCCTAAACTATTTGTATCATAGCAATTTCATCCTCAAAGTAATTAAAATGTAGTAAAAATGCAACTTAACTTGTATCAACTTGGCATGATAAGTGGCATTTTCAATTAAATTTAAATTTCAGTCAACATTTTTAAGAATCAACATTAATGTATTTAACGTCAAGGACAAATTAAATATACTGCAGTTTATTTACTTTAGTAGCAAAATTGCTACAACAAATAGTTTAAACTATTGAGTATTATTCAAAAAATAATTCAGCAATAAAAATGCACATTAACCTCTTATTTTCAAGCAAACCAACCACATTGAACTCGTAAGAAAATGAGAATAAATTAACCCCAAAAAAATAAAATAATTAATTAAATAAATCACAAAATAAAAGCAAAAAACTACAATTTATTATTAAAAAATAAAAGATGGCAATGAATACATTGAGAAATCAATATTTTACAGGGTATTATACATAAAGTATAGCATTATATATATAAGGGTCATGGCTCCACTTTCCTGTTAAATACATTTCAATAAGTAGAAAAGTAGCAGTGAGAAGAAATGGGATCTGTGACAGAACAAAGAGGAGAATGGGAACCCATGCAAGCATAATAATGGGAGGGAGAGCCAACGAGTCATTTGTATGCGCTTATCATGGCTACAATAGAGATATGAAGCGAAGAAAGATATAAAGTCAACTTCGTGAACATGGATTTGAGTAATTCTTCTTTGAAGAAGCAAGTGGCAAAGATTGCTATACGAACATTAGAATAGAAAGGGAAGAACTACTTATGAATATGATAATACAATTGTGGACCAGACTAGATCAAATTGTCTAATAACTCAATCTCTAATAACTCAGTCTCTCTTATTCAATCCAACTCAAATAAAAAGTATGGGTTAATTGGTTTTGTTTGAATTGGACCAATTTGGTTTAGGACTGAATTGGACTGTGTTCCACTAGGTTGGATTGAGCTATTGGGTTTTTGAACAATCTTAATCTGATGGAAGGAGCTCGTCCTGTACAATGTAGAGAGCCAAAATTCGAAATCCAACTAGAAAGGGTGCTCATATTTAACAGCTGAGTTGTATATTGAACATGATTATTTTTAATAAGATGTCACTTGTGAGCAATAAAAATGTAGATGGAGAGAAAATTCTCTATTTTACATTTTGACAGCAATAATAGTTAATAAGGGTTAACTATCTCTGTCAACAAATCCAGGAACAAAAAAAAACTACAAATTACTCCCTCTATTTTTAAATATTAAAGAAAATAATTAACTCACACAGTTTAATTAAGAAAATTAGTTAAGTATAATAATGTCTAAAAATTTAAAAATTAATTAAATTATCCCTATAATTAATAAAACAAATATATCCAATGAAAATAAACATTGACTTTATGAGGGATAATTTAAAAAAATGTAATAAATTCTTTTTGAAATTTATAATTTGTTTATAAATAAAAACATAGAGAAATATGGTAGTTTCTCTTATAATTTGAAAATAAGTATAGTACTAGATATGAAACAGAACAATATAACTTAAATTGAGAAGAGAGAGACAGAAAGATACTGAGACAGACATAGAGAGAGAGAGAGAGAGAGAGAGGAGAGAGAGAGAGAGAGAGGGAGAGGGAACTTGAAATCTGATTGATCAGTCATACAGAATCTTCGTTTCACCAAGAAAATATGCTTACAGTTGGCCAAAAAGGGGAGAAAAAAAAGAAGAAGGAAAAGATTGCTCACAACGTTACAACCCAGCCAAGAACTTACAAGAGAAATATCAAATATGACATTTGTAGGATATGTGTGGCGCGCGGATATATGTTCTAAGTGCTGTAAGTGTAATGGTTCAGCGCGATAAGAGAAAATCCAAAGGAGGAAAATACAAAGAATTAGGATGAGAGGAATGAGATGAATGGCATGTTCTGCAGAAGGCTTATGATGCTGAGCGAAGAGGAATGTTGTTCTTCTTGGCAAGATCTTCATCATCAG